GCAGGAAATATTAAAATGTGCATTGCAGGAAAAAAAAAACACTGGCTGGGCGCGGTGACTCACGCCTGTAATCCCAGCACTTTGGGAGGCCGAGGCAGGTGGATCACAAGGTCAAGAGATCGAGACCATCCTGGCTAACTTGGTAAAACCCCGTCTCTACTAAAAAAATACAAAAAAATTAGCCAGGCATGGTGGCGGGTGCCTGTAATCCCAGCTACTCGGGAGGCTGAGGCAGGAGAATGGCATGAACCCGGGAGGTGGAACTTGGCAGTAAGCCGAGATTGTGCCACTGCACTCCAGCCTGGGTGACACAGCAAGATTCCATCAAAAAAAAAAAAACACACACACACACACACAAAAACCAAACACCTCTGGTATAGAGGAAATGAGATTACAAACATGATAGTTACTGATAAAGAAAAAGGAAAGGGTTTGGAAAACCATGGGTAGCAATAGCAGTATTCCATTTGCATAATACTTTTAAAAGTCAGAAGCATCTAAGATAAATATATAGAGAATAGCATGTATTTCTTATCTAACTTTATTGAGGTCAAAGCAAAACAACTACAAGGTAGGCTGGACGTGATGACTCATGCCTGTAATCCTAGCACTTTGGGAGGCCAATGTGGGTGGATCACTTGAGGCCAGGAGTTGGAGACCAGCCTGGCCCAGATGGTGAAACCCCGTTTCTACTAAAAATAAAAAAATTAGCCAGGGGGCCAGGTGCAGTGGCTCACACCTGTAATCTTCGCACTTTGGGAGGCTGAGGCAGGCAGATCACTTGAGGTCAGGAGTTCGAGACCAGCCTTGCCAACATGGTGAAACCCCATATCTACTAAAAATACAAAAATTAGCCAGCCCTGGTGGCACGCACCTGTAATCCCAGCTACTCGGGAGGCTGAGGTAGGAGAGTCACTTGAACCTGGGAGGTGGTTTCAGTGAGCCAAGATCACACCACTGCACTCCAGTCTGGGTGACAAAGTGAGACTCTGTCTCAAAAAAAAAAAAAAAAAAAAAAAGGCCAGGCATGGTGGGGCGGGCCTGTAATCCCAGCTACTCAGGAGGCTGAGGTGAGAGGTTCGCTTGAACCCGAGAGGCAGTGATTGCAGTCAGAGAGCAGAGATCTTGCCACTGCACTCCAGCCTGGGTGACAGCAGGAGACTCCGTCTTCCCGCAACCCCCTAAAAAGAAACAAAGCATACACACACACACACACACACAAACCTGCAAAACAAATCCAACATGATCTTAGTTATCTCTGGGCTCTGCTGTCTCATAAGTGTATTAAAATAAAGATGAGAACATGAAATTTTCAGTGTGATGCTAGAACTAGCTATATTAGGTTGCTCTTCCTTTGGTGACCACTAAAAGTGGAAATTCCTCTCAGTGAGACAGTAGTCTCTTAAAATGCCCTCAGTTAAGTAACTGAATCAAAAATAATGTCATCAATTCAAACCACCCTAGTATATATCAGAAGACCTAAAGAACTGGGTAGAGCAGCAGGCTTATTTTAGTACATATATATCATCTAGCTTATGAACAAATGCATCATTTTCAAATACGTATTTTTGTCTTGAAATATAAATGGCAGTATTACAACTTAAATGAGGAAGGATTGTAATGTTGATAGATCATGGTTGCTCACAGTCATGAGCAAAATTAATTGGAATACCCAGAGTCTATTTTATTTAACTTTATTGTGGAGAGAAAAAAACTGATAAAGTAAAACTCATAACGTATATTGTTTGGTTAAAGTCTGGATTGTAGTTCCTAAATAAATTTTGATAATGCCTGTACCTAAAGGTGATTTGGAAGGTGCAAGGATTGTTAGAAACATAATCATTTTAACACAATCTAGGATGTGTAAAAAAGTATCTTGTCATTTGGATAGCTTTGACCTTAAGTTATCACATGATGTAATAGGGCAAAGATCCCAAGAAAGCACTATCTTGGGTCCAGCAGGTACAGAGAATACCATGTCTTCTGCATAGTAGGTCATGGTAAATAAAGATGGACATTCCAAGGTTAAATTGGGTACACAAGGGCCTGCCCAGACACTTGGTCAGTCTCCTCTTGACACCAACTGGAAAACTGTGTGAAGTAAAGAAGAAGAAGAAGTGATTGTTTGTGGGTAGATAGTTGATTGGAAAACTGATTTGTTAGTATAAATATGCTTATTTGAAAAATTTTGAAGTTCTATAAGCCCATTGCTGCTCATGCTTACTCTAATAAAGTCAGATAAATTAATAAATTGTGTAGTGATTTTTCTACGTTTCTTCACTGATTTTACCCAGCTGTTGACTTCACTGCGTGAAAGAAAGTGTGGTCTGCGGTAGCTGAGACTGACTGTTGCTCAGGGTCCTGTGCAATTCCTTAGTGGTGGGGCAGACCAGAAAGGAGATAGAACCTTGAGACCACACTTTCTATTTCTTAATGTAATACTCAGAAGAGAGTGAGATCTCAGTAATGGCTGAGTGAATGAAGTTTTCATTGAACATGTTACATCAGAAAAAATGATTGTAGGTGTGACAATGTGAATATGGAGAGTGAACAGTCATTTATGCAGACCCTGATATGAAGTCTTACTAGTGGGTTTCCTTTGCAGTAATGATAGATATGATTTGAATTACATTGAAGTAATTTCATTTTCTCTGAATGTTAAATACATATAAAGAAACTAAGTCTGATTTTAGATGTAGAAATTTTACAGAGCATTTGCTAGAATTAATAATGATTCTATCTAGACAAAAGTTATTAAATATTAGTTTTAAAAATGAGAAGCTGTTTGGGATCATATAGACAGAACTGCAGAAACATTTCAGAATGGAAGTGTGGCTCGTTAGCACACTTCAGCAAACTCAGTGTGAGCATTTCATGCATTCATATTCTACAATGTCTTTAGTATTTTTAAGATACTGTGTTACCAAATTACTTTCTATTGTCTTTGGCTTAAAAGGAGAGTTTTAAGAGAAAATCATATTAAAATATTGCAGGTCAAAGCATTTTAGGTGGTTTTCCTTTGCGAGTGGAAAGAGGATACAAAAAATACTAAGCAATATGCACTGGCCTGTCAATTGGGCCAAGTAGAGGGACTAGGGTTTTGGTTTTCAGTTTTCATAATTGCAATTTTTTTCTTAGGGAGTACACAATATAATTTCTTCATATATTAAACTTAAATGCAGATGACTTCTGAGAGATGTCTGCTATAAAATTTTCATCTGTCAGCAGACTTATGGAAAACATTTTTGCTTTCTGCTATGTGGCAACATTTTAATGTGCACATGTACAACATTTTCACACTCTGTCACCTAATTCCCAATTTGCATGGTAACAACAACATAATAGCATACAAAGAGATATTAAGAAAAAATAACTTGAACTATTTATGATTTCTAAATTGAAGTAATGCTATAAAAGTGTTGTTGCCTGGAAAATGACTCTGTTATCCCCTTCAGGCAGGGTTATGAGGAAGACTTAATGATTTATAAATACTAGAGCTTTATTCATCCAGAGAGAACAGTATACATTTCTTTTCTTCTTTATTCCTAACAAGATCCCTTATCATTAGCTGTAGTCTTAAGAAAGTGGTAGAAAGCTTTCAATCCTGTAGAAAGGCTGTTGAAGTCTTGTTCACTATGCAGTATTTGTCCTGAGTGGTAGCAAGAAATTCCACAGAGATTTGTTAAATCAACTCTTTACACCACCCCATAGATTCTCTATATACTAACACATACTATTGACACAGGTTTTGCATAAATTAAGTTCTTTCTTTGCATCCTAGCATCAAGATCACAATAATGCCTTGTTCATGAGCTTTTCCTTTTACCACTGTAGAATTCTAACCCAATGTTTGTGGTCTATTTGCCAGTACTTACTAGTGAAAGGCCATTGCCTGCATGTATCAAGAGAAATTAGAGGAAGCTGTTGTTCCTCCTGATACTCCTTGACACTTGCATTTGGACTCTCTGTTGATAAGAACAGAGGCAGAATAAAGCTCACATCATCCTTTCCACCTGTTAGAACTAAATGCTCAAGTAGTATGGAACTTGAGTATAAGGTCATTCTCAACATCTTAATACTGCTGAAAGCAATATGTGTCAGAAGATTTAGAGATCTGATAAAATTAAATATTAGATACAATTTCTCTTAGAAGCCTTCTTAATCCCCCATCTAATTGACACGGTATGCTTGTAAATGCAGATTTCTACACTGACTTATTGGATTGAATCAGAATTCCTGTTGTTGGGACCCTATATTGGGGTAGCCAAGGTAATTTTGTTAAGCTTACTAAAGTTTGAGAATAACTTATTTGAGACATTTAATTTCGTGTGACATTTTAGTTGCTCTGAGAATTTCCAGGGACAGTTACGGAGACCTAGGCATCTGTATGGAAGAGCAGAGCAACTAGGTACATTTTAACTTCTGTTTTTCTCCCAGAAGGTGATCCCAGGTATGCTTGACTAGCCTGCTTGAAAGCAATTTTCATCATAGTCAATCATAAAAATTACATATTATGTACTGCAAAGCCCTATAAAAGACTCCATAGTCTGATGCTTGTCAGAATAACTTTGTTGTTTTCTTTCTTGTCAGTCCTTACCTATGTTCACAAATGTTCAAGCTTAATAGTTTGTTCCTCTTACAACAGGGTCACTCATGCAGAAGAACAACAAGAAAACATCAAGTTTAAAGTTAACTCTTCTGTATGCCTTGCAACATCATCTGTGAGTGAGGAACAAACAATTACAGCAACGAAAGAATCAAGTTCTCTAAATATATAATAGGAGATAAAATATTTTATGTATTTGTACTCAAAAAATTTGTTACTCAGAAATTTGAAGTTAGTGGTGGCTGCTTATGACTATTGCCTTTCCACAGAGACACTAATATTCTGTTTTTTTTTTTTTCTTTTTTCTTTTTGTGAGACGAAGTCTTGCCTTGTCACCAGGCTAGAGTGCTGTGGGGCAATCTCGCTTCACTACAACCTCCAACTGCCTGGTTCAAGGGATTATCCTGCCTCTGCCTCCCGAGTGGCTGGGATTACAGGTATGCCCCACAACACCGGCTAACTGTTGTATTTTTAGTAGAGATGGGGTTTCACCCTGTTGGTCAGGATGGCTTCCATCTCCTGACCTCATGAGGCCTTGGCCTCCCAAAATGTTGGGATTACAGACGTGAGCCACCGCACCCGGCTGACACTAATATTCTTTCAATATTTTCATATTTCAATTCTTTAATATTTTCAAAATATGCTGCTGATTATCATGGAATGCAAATTATACTGCTACATAATACATTGTCTTTATCATTTAGTTAAACAGTTATTTTTGTATTAAGCTCCTCTGTCATCTTTTATGATGTAATTCAATATTTCATTATTTCACTGCAGGTAACATTGAATATTGCTTAATAAACACTGATATTTAAATATATTATGTTAGGAAATGTGTAGTACATTTTAGATGAGCTATTACATGTTTTCAAAATATAGCTTCTGTGGAGATGAATAAAATTCTTTTATTTATATAATATTTGCTTAATCTGATTCATAACACTTTATAGCTATGTCTTCTATGAATTTTTAATTTAGAAATTTCTTTGGAGGTCATTGTTAGATGATCTTGCATTATGTAATATAAAGGTCTTTTTCTGCTATGTCTATCTGTTGAATGTATAAAATCAAACAGCAGTAATATTATATACAGTATTTCAATATAAATCACAATTCCCCTTTGCCTTCCACCATGATTGAAAGTTTCCTGAGGCCTCCCCAGACATGCTGAACTGTGAGTCAATTAAACCTCTTTCCTTTATAAATTACCCCGTCTCAGGCAGTTCTTTATAACAGTATAAAAATGGACTAATTCAGCAAATCAGTACTACAGAGAGTGGATCCTGCTATAAAAGGATACCTGAAAATGTGGAAGTGACTTTGGAACTGGGTAACAGGCAGAGGTTGGAACAGTTTGAAGTCCTCAGAAGAAGATCACAAGATGTGGGAAAGTTTGAACTTCATAAGAGTCTTGTTGAATGGTTTTGACCAAAATGCTGACAGTGACATGGAAAATAAAGTCCAGACTGAGGTGCTGTCAGATGGAGATGAGGAACTTGTTGGGAACTGGAATAAAAGTCACTCTTGCTATGCCTTAGCAAAGAGACTGGTGTCATTTTGACCCTTGCTAGAGATCTATGGAACTTTGAACTTGAGAGAGATGAAGCAAAAGGGGCAAATTTCTAGGATCTTTTCTGTTTTAATTATACGCTAAGATTTTAACATATATTATTTTGTGTAACCTTTGCAAAATTCCTAAAATGTGATTAGTTTTATTTCTGCTTTACAGGTGAGGGTGCTGAAAGTTCTTACAAAGGTGAAGTGGCTGAACTAAAGTTACACATCTACTCAACAGGAGATGGGAGACTTGAACAATAGTGGTTTAACTCCATAGCCTACGCTGTTTTTGCAATGTGCTTTAAATAAATTACATGTGTTGATGGGACTGAAAGTCTTGCACTGTGTAGGGAAGAGAGATTCTTGAGACTTGATAAGATTGAAAATTTCAACTGCAGCAAAAGTCAGTTAGCTGAAAGCTCTTCTCATTAGCTTGGAAGGGACATATACCCAGAAATCGGAGTGATTGAATGAAAGAGAAATACTACTGATAGAAAATTGATTAAAAGTTTCTACCTTGTGGATAAAAGAATTTAAAAATATATAACTAATGATAAATTAGCACATGTTAATTAAGGCATGATAAGCAACATCTTAGAATACAAGATAGATTGAATACACAGTTGTGGAGGGGGGATAGGAGAAAGGGAATTATTCACAGGAGAAATGGCCAGTAAGAGGGAGAGTTAATACATAATTTGTTTCTGCAGGAACAGGGTAAGCACAAAATGAGTACTCATACCCAGAGATTAGAGCCTACATGCATCACTTTTACTTGGATACCAATTTCTTCACTAACAAAAACTCCATTTAGATTTTGGCCTTACCATGATTTCTGGTACCTGTGCCTGCCTGACTCCCTGAATCTTGCTGCTTCCCTGTTTGTACAATTAATCTACTTCTGACCATCTCTGAATCCCTGAACTGATCCACTAGACTAGAATTTACTTCCAATTTCTGAATATGTTGTCACAGAACTTTGGCTATGAATGGTGTCGTTTAAAAATTGACTTCCTCATCTGTCTGTAATTCACGGCGAATTTCCATAATCTCCTTGAATGTTGCCAAATTCAGTGCCACCACACTTGTAACACAGATATACCTTTGAGCCACCTTGTAACTTGCTTTCTCCCTTCCTGGACCTAGTTCACCATCTCTGAGTCTGTTACTCACATAACAGAATGATGCATTTTACTTCACATCCAAAATCTTAACAGAGGAGTGTTCATTGTCATGGAATCTGTAATGTTCGAGTACATTTTTAAAATACAACTCATTTGTAGGTCATCGGTGTATTTCTTGGCTCATATCTTGTAAAAACCAATTAAATATATACACGTAGTCTCCCAAGCTGGCTCATACGTAATACATGTACTTACTTTCTAACAAGTTGAATGACTACATACTACAATCAAAATTTTAGAAACAAATACATGAAAGTAAATTATAAAATAAACATTACAGTAACATTTGTTTTGTTTTATATTGATCATAAATAATTATACTGGAGAAAATATTAAGTAGATGTGTATACAAGATTAACAGATTTAGGAAGATTTGAACTTCTAAGGATTATTTAGATAGGTGACACAGACGGGTTAATTTCTAGAATATGATTTGAAAGTTTATAATGTCCCATTTCCTGGGTTTAGTGAACTATGATCATTACCTTAAGAATATCTGATGAGGCCAAGCACAGTGGCTCATGCCTGTAATCCCAGCACTTTGGGAGGACAAAGTGGGAGGACTACTTGAGCCCAGGAGTTTGAGACCAGCCTGAGCAACATGGCATGGCAAAATGCTGTTCCTAAAAAACTAAATAAAATAAATAACTGGGCGTGGTGGCACACATGTGGAGTCCCAACTACTCTGGGTGTGGGGCTGCTGAGGTGTGAGGATCCTTTTGCCCTGGAGTTTGAGGCTGCAGTGAGCTATGATCATGCCACTGCACTCTAACCTAGGCAACTCAGTGAAACTTTCAAAAACATAAAACAGAATATGAGTTTGGAAGCATTAAATATGATAAATGGAATGTGAGAGAAAAGGAAGGAGGTGGGTGGGAAGGGAAAGACAATTGACTATGAAAGATAGATAATTGTCCTAAGAAGACTAAGTAATTAATAGAAATGGACAATAGTAAGGGCCTTCTCAAGTAAACTTGTTACTGAACATGAAAATCATTGTTTGAGGTAGAATTAACTTCATTAAAGTTAACAATAGTAAAGGAAAATATGAAGTCCGTATTATCTACAATATGCTTTTTAAAGAAAGAGATATAAATCAGAGTATTCTTTGAATTACTCACTGGTTGCTATCACTATTGGCCAAAAGTTTACTAAAGTTGGGAAGAATAAGAGGCATGGCGTTGTTTGTGGTGAAGTGGAAGGGTTAAAAAATAAGTAGGACTGGCCAGGCGCTGTGGCTCATTCCTGTAATTCCAGCACTTTGGGAGGCTAAGGCAGGTGGATCACTCGAGGTCGGGAGTTTGAGACCAGCCTGGTCAGTTTGGTGAAATCACATCTCTACTAAAAATACAAAAATTAGCCAGGCATGGTGGGATGCACCTGTAATCCCAGCTACTTGGGAGGCTGAGGCAGGAGAATCGATTGAACCTGGGAGGCGGAGGTTGGCGTGAGCACTCCAACTTGGGCCATAGAGCGAGATTCCATCTCAAAAAAAAAAAAGTAGGCCTGAAAAGATGGGCATTATGGCAAAAAAGGAAATTCAGAAACTCTGTAAAGATCAACTACGACATTCAAACTTTTACAAAAATTACAGCATTTTCTTAAGTATATGATTTAAGATAGGGTAATTTGTTTTCTGTTTTATTACCAGTAGAATGTAATTGATAAATTATTTGTCTTATTTATGCTCTCAAAATAAGAAAATCCAGGTTTCTACTCATTATTAAGACATGCAAAAGCAAATAAGCAGATTTCCAATAAGCAACATCTGGAGCAGAAAGGTATATGGGATACCTGTGTGTCGGCATATATAAATATACCACCAGTGAGCTTAGTTGAAAAAAATGGATTAGGCACACCAACAAATTCATGTAAAGGGAGGCAATAACAATCTAAAATGTTGAATGAACTATTATTTGTATAAAATAAAATTTAAATGATAGTCCCACTTTGTAAAAGTACTATAGTCACTGTTGATATCAATAAAAAAAATAGCTTCTAGGAAAATAGTAATACATATATAAATTCTGCACTGTAATTAATATGGCATAACTAGAGACGTAAAAAGCAAATTGAGATGATGACATGACAATTTTATTCGTTTATAATTATTTTGTATGATTCCTACTCTTCTATTTGTATTCTGTTTTCTCCCCAGCCATCATTTTTGAATTTACATTTTGCAATCATTTTTATTACGTATGTTTATGATCATCATCAAATCCCTCTTTAAAACAACTTGACTATCCATATATCTTTAGTAAGGTTTTATGCAGCTAATTATCAAAGAAATAATGAAGTAAATTTAAATGTAATGCTATGGAATGATTTCTAAGACACAGTGTGAAGTGAGAAAAAATTTTTTAAAAAGTTTGTATAATATAATCCCATTTAAGGCAGAAAATATAACCAGTGCTGAGCTTTGCATTGCTCTGCATTGCTTTGAAATCCTGAGGCTCCACAGAAGAATGGCTAGAGAATACAATGCTCAGACCACAAATTGTAGATGGAAGGCATTGTAGAGTCGATCTCAGAGGCTGTGGGAAGGGGCCGAGAAGAATACATTCCCAACCTACACAGCACATAGATAATCTTAACAGATAGTTTCATTTGAAAGGAGGAGAATATAAAGAAAATCACAGCAACTATGTAAACACACCATCACGGTGGGTGCCAGGGTGGGCAGAAACCTAACACGCTACTAAGTCAGATAAAGAATCCAATATGGAAAATAAGTCCAAGAAGCAGCAGAAAATTCCCCAAGAGAGCTCCTCATTAGCAAAGAATGTAGTAAGTATATTAAACAAAATATCAGAGCTCAAACAAGACAGTTGATAACAGGCTAAAATGAATAATAATTCTTAAGTGCAAAAACAAACCTGACAGCCAAATGAGCAACAGTATAAAAGCTTTAATAGGCCGGGCGCGGTGGCTCAAGCCTGTAATCCCAGCACTTTGGGAGGCCGAGACGGGCGGATCACGAGGTCAGGAGATCGAGACCATCCTGGTTAACACGGTGAAACCCCGTCTCTACTAAAAAATACAAAAAAAACTAGCCGGGCGAGGTGGCGGGCGCCTGTAGTCCCAGCTACCTCGGGAGGCTGAGGCAGGAGAATGGCGTGAACCCGGGAGGCGGAGCTTGCAGTGAGCTGAGATCCGGCCACTGCACTCCAGCCTGGGTGACAGAGCGAGACTCCGTCTCAAAAAAAAAAAAAAAAAAAAAAAAAAAAAACCTTTAATAAATTCAAAATATCAATGAACAGACTAGACACACCTGAGGAAAAAAAAATTATGTAGAAGAAAAACTTGCCTTTTTTAAAGTTGAATAACAAGCAAAAGAGCAGACAAATTATAGAGAATACAATAATATATGGAAGAGGAATAATCTATTATAAATAGAAGTAAAAAATCACACAAGTGGAGCAGAGAATGTTGGAAATTAACAGAAGACAACCTTTCTGAGTGTAATCTGCTGGTGAAAAGCAAAAATTGTGTTCAAATTATAACAGACGCAGACAATTAACACAGAGAATTATACTATTTAAGAGACCAAACTTGAAGAGACAAAAAGAACTCTGGGAAGAAAATTTTCCTACAAAGATGAAAAAAAAAAAATCAAGCTGATTTTAGACTTTTCTACAACAACGTTAAAAGCCCAAAGGCAATGGTGAAACACATCATTCTGAGAAAAAGTATACTACTAGAATACATACACAAAATTGCATCCAGGTGTAAAAGTTATGGACAGATACTTTCAGATGTTTAGATTTCTCTGAGATCGTTTAGGGAATAAAATATCCTTGAGTCCTTGCTAACCAAAAAAGAAAATCAAAATTCCCAAAACAAAACTACTCAACAACCAAATTCAGCTAATGAGAAAATAGGTTAAAGTGAAACAAGAATGAGAAACCTATAGTAAAAAGACCAGTGGTGTATATATGTCTTAGTTAATTGGGCTGCTATAACAAAAATATGGTAAAATGTGCGTCTTAAATAACAAGCATGTATTTCTCACATTTCTGGAAGCTGGGAAGCCCAGACTAAGGTGCCAGATTTGATGTCAGATAAAGGCCTACTTCCTGGTTCATAGAAGGCTGTCTTCTCACTGTATTATCACATGGTGGAAGGAGGTTAGGATTTCAGC